GATGGACCTGTCGCAAAGCGAGCTGGTCGGTTCCATATTTCATCGATAACCTGGTTGAATGGATGGTATACTGACAATTTTCCGTATCACTAGCTGCCGCGTCTACTGCTACTGCAACGCAGGCCACAGAAACTGGCTCCTCGTCCTCTAGTACGGATGCATCAGCCACGACGACAGGATCAGCAGCCACGACGACAGGATCATCTGCCTCGGAGTCTGGATCATCGGCTACGGAGTCTGGATCGTCGACTACGGAGTCAGGCAAGTCTAAGGCCACGAAGACCTCGAAAACTAGCAGCTCGACCTTTGTCGACCCTCGTCTTCCGCCAGGTGGAATTTCCATGATCACGCCGGCGACTACTACCACCACGTACTACAAGATCGGCGACTATGTGACCTTCGCATGGAACTACACCTCGCTGTCCGTGACGCCGTCTGCCATTGATGTCATCGCCTTCTGCAGCTCGAACAGTGCTACATACACCCTCGCCAGCAACATGAGTGTTGGGCCAACGGATGCGGTGACCTGGGATACCCACCAGTACCAAGCCACTGCGACAGTGCCTCTTCTGACGGCCTCCTACACGTTGATTGTCTACGAGGCAGGCACGCAGCCCAGCGATGTCGCCAGTGCCGGACACCTGGGTGCGAGCAACTTTATCTTTGGCATGTATGTGCCTCAGCCGTACACTCCGCTGAGCGATGGTGAGTCTCTCCTCTTCGCTGAAAACGTACGTATAGCTAACAGTTGAAAAAGGCTACCAGTGCGTCACCTGCAACGCCGCCCTGTCGGACACGGAGCGTCAAGCCCTGGGCTTCATGTTGACGATGGCGACCATCACGGTGCTGTCGTTCACCTGGTTCGCCAATGGATTTGGCCTGTTTTCATCATAACGACAATAATAATAATAACTAGCTACCAGCTTACCCAACCTAGAGACCACCTACCCACCTACCTATCTTACCTACCTAATCAACCATCTATCGATCGATCGATCGACCGATCAATCTCTCGCGTCTTTAATAACCGACATAAAGAGAAGAAAGTCCACTGCGTATACGCCTATGTCATCTCCAGTGTTGGGAAATTGTCCTTCTTCACTTACAGCATCTTATCATCATCAAGTCATGAATGATCTGTGATCGTCCCAGGGAATTTGAATTTGAACCTGAATCTGAATCTGAACCTGAACTCGAGAACATTGAACATGTTTGTTTGTCTGCTAAGTTAACAATGGACGGCAATGGCAATGGCGACGGCGGGCATTTTTGGGCGTTTTTCTATTTTGTGTGTATTGTTATTATTATTATTATTATCATTATTTATTTTTTGTGACTGGTGCATAATTAATCTATCAGGGAATGAATGCGTTAGCTGTCAGATAGAAAAAATAGGAATTGAATAAAGTTAAGTATGGTTCATAGTTTTTTTTTCCTTCTTATAGGTCCTTTGAATTAATATTAATTGAAATTTGTGATGATAACAGATAGTCAGTACTCAATACATAATAGAAATAGATGGATGGATAGATGGATGGGAACGACCAGGTCATACTTCGAGTCTTCGACCTTCCTCCCCTTGTATGGTATGGTATGGTATGGTGTGGTCGACCGACCGGTCGGCTGGTCCGAAGATATCTATCTATCTAGAATAGAATCTAGATACTAGATACTCCATCCCGGAAATATATCATATCACATCACTATCAAAAATATCACTATCACTATGGGACCCGGCACTGACTGGCAGCTTTTTTTTCGTCGTGCTGTTCTCTTCTTCTCTTCAACTCAACAACTCAACATAGGACCAGACCAGACCAGACCAGACAGACCAGACAAGACCAGACGGACTATATTATTGGCGATCGATCGATTCCATCCCGTCGCTGCGATATCCAGTACCGCTCGCTGGCTCGCTGGTTGCATTGGCAGGAATAGGACTTGTTATGTACGTACGAAGGCGACGACCAAAGAAAAAAAGTATCGCGGGCCCAACCTTATCCCATTCCGGCAAAGACTAGGGAGGGAGTTCAGGGAGTTCAACTGTGTTGAGAGAAGGGACAGTGATAGAAGAATATCGGAGGGAATCCCGAGTTTGTTGGTGGTGCGTCTGATTCTCTCAATATTCTTCGGGTATGAAATGTGTATGTGCGTGTGTGTGTGTGTGTGTGTGTGTGTGTATGTATGACGCACATCGAGTATTAGTTGGTTTTAGGAAGGGTACTTTCCGCAGTGGGCTGTATGTAGACTGTATGACTCGGTGGCGCGGCATGCTTTGGTCTATTTTCAGTTGTCGTCTGAGAGAAGTTTCTGCCAAGTTGATCTTCAAAGAATGAAGACCAAGTCTGGCGACAAGATCAATGATGTCAAGTCATTCATGTCGAGAGTCGTAACGACGGAGCAATGATTTTATTTCAAGCGCACCCCGAATGATACGCCTCCCAGGAAATCGACTTTTTGCCATCAGATTCCACTGTTGTTGGGCGTCGGATGACGGGAAGCTGAGCGGAATTGTCGGTCATCTTTTGGCACTTCTTGCATGGTGTTCGCCTGATGTCCGAATAAGAATAGATCATTTCCTGGCAGACAATCAGCTTGATGAAAGTATAAAACCTCAGAGTAGATTTACTGCAAACTCACCAATAAATAAGCGAGGTCCCATTTGCGAGGTCTGCGATTGAGATTCGAGCAAATTGCAGTTTCGAGCTTGCTTGGTGCCTTCCATGGCTGCGGCTGGGGCTCGACCTGCCATTCAAGCGCTCCACTGTCCTCCGGACTGACGACTTCTTGGACTTCGAATGTCATCCCAGCGCTTCCGAGATGCACTGTAAACATAGCCTCGTTTTTGTTCACTAGGAGCCGCAATCCAGAGAGTTGTCTCTTCTGGAACGACTCAACGACACCTCTCCAGCCACCCTCGGCGGACAAGGCTTTCAACCTCTCCTGCTCTTCTTCGTCTTTCCGGCGTTGTTCCTCTTTCTGGCGCTCCTCGTTTTCCAGGTCCCGCAAGATGACATCGTAGTCACGCTCCCACATCCCGGTGGGCTGCGGATAGCGGCCGTTGGATTCTTTCAGTTTCTCGTCCATCCAGCCCCAGACGGCTTTCAGCTCGGAACTCTGCCACATCGACTTGAATTCTTCCACCTCCGCGACGCCATCGCGGGCGGACTGGGCAAGGGCTTCAAACAGCAGTTGGGGGTTCTTTGGGATTGCCCTTTGAGACCCTGCCTTTCGCGGGTTGACGATTGGTGTAATAGGTGCCAGCAGACGATCCGGCAACAATGACCGGAGTTGGTGAATCTGAGGATCCATTAATTAATGGCTGCAATAAACAACAGGACGGGGTTCTCCCACCGTGTAGGCACTTACTTTGGTTTCTAGTTCTTGTAGCTTCCACAGGGACGAAACGATCTGTTTCTCAGAATCCCATTCTTTACGAATCGCATCACCATTTGGATTCACTTGTTCACCAATACTAGCAGCCGACGTCTGCGCATCGGTTGCTGCAGAAGGTCCTGTTGCAGCTTGGCCTGGGAGTGCGCCATTGGCAGGTAGCTGAGTCGACATGATCTTCTTTTTATTCTCACATTCAAGCCCGACACGGCACGGATATCAGAGTTAGAACAGAATCGAAAATCCTAAAGATGGGGCGTTGAATTGTCCGAACAGAGCTCAAGTACCGGACACAAACAGACACTCTCTAATAGCAAGAGATAGAAGGAGAAAAGAGGAGAATAAGTTTCTCTTGAATAGACCCAAATCTCACGTGGCTATGTGGTCGCAGTTGGGATGGAGCTCAGAACGGCGAATGAAATAAGTGCACACAGCCAGTCTTCAGTAGCGATCCATACTGTCTGATTCTAAATTTCTGATGAAGCCAAGATGCACCTTTTCTATGCTGGCTTGGCGGAGTTCAATAATAGTGATAGATACATGTACATGTCCAGTTCGAGAGTGAGTTCGTTGATGGCGGCATGTCGCCTAGGTTCGTCATGCGCCACACATCACCTCATGACAAGCCTCATGTGGCGGTGCATTACGTACCTGTCATGATTGGACCAATCAAGTCTCGCAACAGCATATCCCAGTACCCTTTTTTACTCAATCAAACCAGCCCGTTCAGTTCAATCACAATCGGAAGCAGTTCAGAAACTGTCGAGGCTGGGCTATCTGTGCCCTAATTTCGTTTTGAGCAGTATACTACAATACAATCGAGCAGCTCAAATCCTATAATCTTCGTACAAGAAATGGTTCTTGAGGTTCTTAAGATGGGTTATTATAGAGGGGTTAAGCTGGTAATGAGGCAGGACCTGTAAATGGTAAATGAAGTTTCATGTCGTATGAGAATTGATAGCTACAGGGCCATTGTACTCTTTTGCCTGGAAGGACGGGGGGTGGGATTGAACGGTTTGCTATAGTCTACACAACTATATATATGTAGACTTCGGAACTGAATTGCAGAGATATTTGAGTCTTGACTGTCATTGCCATCAAGGCTCAAGCCTAGCAGGAATACCGTTTTCCAGAGAAAATACAAGAAAGAATCTTTTGGTAGAATATGGACTTGCTTTAGAATCATTCACTTGAAAAAAAAAAGGTGTGTAAACTGTGCTTCTAGGAGACAGAAGGATATGTTCTCCGTACTTGTACTGTACGTACTTTGTCTCTACCGTCCCCTAATATCTGTTTGTATACTAATCTGCGCACCAGAGCCATCTACATACATACATGTACATACGCGATGAACTCAGCCGAGCGCACAGTCACGGGATATGATACCAAAAAAAATACGGACGTCCGCATGAGCGGTGTTGAGATCGGGCAAACCATAGTACTTTAATTTCAGGACCAATAAATGAGAATGAATGAATGATCAACACGGCAAAGAGTCAAAGATGGATAGGAATAGGAACAGGAATATGAATAGACGGACTGAGTCCGGCGGGCACGGCGGCTAGTTTTTTTTTTAAAAAAAAAAGAAATTAAATAATTCGATTGATTGGATAAACTTGCCTATGTACTCCGTAAGTCTCACAGTAAATATAGCTACCTTCCTAAGGCAAGATTTAAGATTTAATTAATCAATCTATTTAGTATTGCGACCGGCAGTCCGGCACAAGAGCCATTGACTATTGTAGCTTATGTAGGTACTAAAAAGCTAAGCGAAGTCAAGTTTAGGAGTCCTAATAAATGGTGCAAGTGCAACCGCGCGCAATAAGAATAATTACCTAAATCCTGCAGCCCTGTTTTTGGCATTTGCTATTATTAAAGTTAATTAACTTTCAAGTCGGCGGACAGGCAAGCTTGAAGCCGCAAGCGAGGACCAAAAGACGGGCAGAAAAGGCGGTCGGTCGGTCGGTCGGTCGGCTCGACTCGATTCAACTCCGCCTCGAGTTTTATACAGTACCAAGATCCAGATGACTCCAAAAAAGGCATAAAAAAATTCATACCGCGGGCCGCGGCAGACCTCCGTATTCCGTTCTTACCGCCTATTTACTCTAGTCTAGTAGTCTTATTATTTACCCCTCTTCTTCGGAGCCGCCTCCGTGTCCGTGAGTCCGTTTACTCCGTTACCTAGGCAGCTTTTTTAGTAAAACTCACTAGAGTCACTAACCCGTATGGAGTACTGCTCCTATCTCCGACAGAACCTTACTTACATCGGAGTATGCTAGGTTAGTACGGAGTAGGTAGGTAGGCGGTTGGGCCATGGGGCGGTGAGGGTTAAGTCAAACGCGCGAGCACACACAATTCAAACATCTACTACGGAGTACTCCGTAGAGATGGATACTTCTCCGGCAGGGATAGGGATGCAAAAATCCGAATGGTCATTACGGAGTATTCTCGCTAAGCTAGTCAGATGACCACTCCTTGATAAGCTAATAGACCTCTTTTCGGAGATTAGCTACGTTCGTACAGAGTACAGAGTAGTACTCCGTACGATTATGATTCATCACATGCTCTGATCTGGACTTCTGCTCGAAGGAAATACTTGGTCTGGATCTTAGCAATACCCCTAGCTAATTATTAAATATTAGTAGTGTCAAACTCAACAGATCGGTTATTTTACTTAACGACGGGAACTAGGCAGTTAGTAAGGTTGTTTGCATTGCCTGGTTTTTTTTTTGAAAGCACTACGAGACTAAGGAGGGGTAGCTTCCAGACCAGTTCTCTACAAAAATACGGAGAAGAACAAGGATTTGACGTAATTGAATTGAATTCATTTATATATCTATCAAAGCGTCTCAACCTCAACCATCAACCCACTAGAGGGATGGGAGGGAGAACTGCATAAAATAAAAAAAATATGGAAAAAAAAATTATCACGAATTAAACGCTTCATCCGTTGTACCATGCAACCGAATCAGAGAGGGGAGCCAACAAAATATGTGAAATCCCCGAAAGAATGCACCAGATGCAAAAATGTAAATCCAGATCCAATCGCTATCCAAAGTCCATTCTTTTTTTGGGGGGTGTATTCCGCGCCAGTCGAAATGCTCAATCACTGTCATGATCTCGTCAGGGGTATCATGCTAATGGTACATCGATGACATGAGGCCGTTGCAAGCGTCAAGGCGTACATCTAGTACGCCGGTATCATCGTGCCCTGCAGTCGCGAGGATACATAGTATCCTTGCCCGAACATGGGTGACTGTTCTGAATCTGGGAGAGCCAGCTCGGCCCTCTTGGCGGGATGTTGGTCGTGGTAGAGAGCCATCGTTGACACCGACGGCTCCTTCTCGGACGACGTAAAGTCATCGTATGCGGATTGCGGTGGTGATGGTGGTGTCGTGTCTTCCTCCGAGTCGTCGTCGAGGTCTTCCAACAGCTCAGGCGGCGACTGCCGGGAGGGCGATCGTCTCAAGGCGAGGTCTTCAAACTCGAACTCAAAGTCTTCGTCCTCCTCCTCTTCCTCTTCATCTGTATCCGACTCGGAATCTGACACCTCCTGCTCTGTGATGATGGCGACCGGGGAGGGAGGACGGCGGAAGGGCGTGGCAGACGCGGTGTGGACAGTCATGTCCTCCTCCTCCAGATCCGAGTCGCTCATATCCGACTCTGCGTCCGAGTCCTCTTCCGAGGACCAGTCTTCCTCGGGCTCCTCGACGAGGTTATCAGCCCATCGGATGTGGCTGGGCCGCTCGTCTTGAGAAGACTTGGTGGCACTGTTGACGGAGCGGTTGAACCATCGCTCCTGCTCCTTCTCTGCATTGGCAAGCTCCAGCATCAAGGAATCGAGGAGGTTTGCGTGGCCGACGAGCAGGCGGAGGTCGTGGTCGGCCCGGGCAGCCTCCCTGGAGAGCTTGCCCCGGGCGGTGTGGGCGAGATAGTAGGTCTGCGTGAGGCTCATCTTTCTCTTTTGCAGTTGTTGTTGTTGCTGCTGCTGCTGCTGCCGCGGCCTTGGAGGGGAAGAATTGAAGGGGGAGGATTGGACGTAGTAGGTGGAAGCCATCAGTGGGCAGGGATGTGCTTATTATTTAAGGATGAGCTCAGGCAGGCGGGATTCGAGTGAAACCGCGTGAGTCAATGTACGGAATAGTGCCTGACAATACCCGAGAGGGCGGTGAGGCGTTGAACGTGGCTGCCGGCGTCGATTAGGCGGTGTCAGATAATTTGTGGGGATGCTGCTCCGCGATCTCTGCGTGAAAGGGCGGGCGGTGGTGCGTGGTCAGGCAAGATATGGTCAAGCAGGATTCCCACCATTGTCCAGGACAGGGCGACGGCTGTTTTTATGCATCTGCTGCCGTGTCCAGCTGATTTTTTTTTGATCCGCATAACCCAAGCCAAGCACCAGCAGATGCCGTGCTCCGTAGGGTCCGGGCGGAAGTCGGAGACGCGATCAGGGCTTTGGGGCGTGGACGGGCCTTACGGCCGATCCGGCCCTCCGCGCGAGGATCCTGCCCCACCGCCGCAAGTCTTTTTGCCTCTTGCCCAGTATGAACACGGAGCAAACAAGCCGATGACGCAGTCGCGCCTTCCCGCGGCGTCATGCATCTCGTCTTCTTCCCTCTCACCGCCTGCTCGGCCGTGCCTTCCACCGCCTTCCAGCACGCCGCCCGCCAATCGCGAGGACGAATGTCCGATTCGAGACGCTGCTCCAATCTTCTTCACCCCGGAATTCTGACAAATCCTCCGTTATCGTTCTTACTCATCCCGCTTCTTGAAATCATCCAGCCGTTATGAATCATCAATCAATATCTATTTCACTGTTTCTCCTCTTCTACGGAACTGCCATCTCCGATTTCTAATCGTGCTGTCCGACCGCAATGACAAGTCATGCATTCTGCAATCACCCCTCATGGCTGCCTGATTCCAACTGCAGTAGTCGTATCGTATCTCATGCCTCAGTGGTGCACTAGTCAGGAAGTGTTAGGCCCCCCTGGGGACTCTCCCTGTCCGGATGCACCACGCAATCATGTTTCTCTGTGGTCCAGCAAGTAGTCTCGCATAACAGGCTTATTTTCGATAGGAAAAATGCTGCATTGCCGTTGTCTTTACAGCTAAGATAAGCGTTGGCATCGCCAACGTTGGATAACCGAAACGGGCCTTATCGAGTCATATCGCCCGAGTCGGTTAGCCAGCCTGGGGTCTGGATTCCCTCTTTGGCCAAGCGAGGCCCGAGGCGGAGCAAACGTACCGTCTTGTCATCACCCCACAACCACATCACCCGCAACTGCAAGAATGACTGTCGTTGACTCGTATCTCTCCGATATTTTCCTCAGGCCCCAAAATTCAACCAGGCCACAGCATTGTCTGTATACAGCGTGGTGACTGCCCTGCCAAATAAGGAAGCAGTGCCATCAAACCAACCCGCGAATTGACCAATGGGGGCTTGACCAGTTACTGTTGCCTCAGGCAGCACCGAAATGCGAGGGCGAAAAAAAAAGCCTCCCAAGTCTACAATGTACTAACAAGGAATTTCAGTTCTGCCTGGGGCAATTACAACCCAGTCCGTCGGTATGGACGGCATGAATCAGTTCAACTCCGTGCCCTTCATTACTTAGATTTTGCACCACACCGATATTACCCGTCAACGGTGGAACGGATCGAATCGTCCGTTCGCCACCGTCATCCGCATAACCGTGGAGTACGGAGAGCATTACTTGGATCCAGACCCATTCCATCTACCCGTTCGACCAGAATGGGCTAGACTCTTCACAGCCCTATGGAAATATCTCCAGACTGTATGACACCTGGAATCTTCATCTTCGGCCGAAAATGGGTTTTTGTGAAGCATATATGCGAGGTAGTACAGGGGAAACCGCTTGCACTACATAGTGCTCGCTGTATAAAGAAGCTGACTGTCGGACAATGGTCCTGTGACTTGATTCTACCAATCTCTCGGGACTTCAGGGGCCTTTCACAAGCAAGCCGTGCCTGCTGATGTCTGACTCATCACCTAACTCTGAAGCCCTCTATCAGCTTCAGCCCTATGGGTTACAGGATCCGCTCAGACGGAGTCGTCCCGAATACGGATGCGACCCTGTAACTTTGTTTGCGGCTGAAGAGCTCTTCCGAGGTCCGATTAACGAATATTCACCTGACAGCAGACGACGTGAACCGGAGATGGGGAGATATTGGTTATACCCGAAGATCGTCATCTATCGTTTCTATCTACACACAGGACTCAATCCTAGTCTCACAAGCAGCATATGAGGATCACCCCAGTAATTGATCTCGGCAGCCGCTGACATAGTAGTGAGTCGCGACAGAAACATTTTTTTTCTCTCTTCCGGTGGAGTATCTCGGGTCTCGGAGTTTTTAAAGTTTTTTACTTACCTAGGTCCAAGTACGCAGTACCTTGGCAGGCCCTCAAGTTTCCTCAAAAAGAAATTTGACAAGAGTGACTCAGTGCCGTTTCCGTGGATCCGTCCGTCCAGGCATTAAAATACAGAGTAATAATATTCGGACCCGAGTCAGAGACGGGAACACGGGAACCCGAGCATAACGAGCATAATTATTCATCAGCCATTGTTGACGCGCATCGTAAACATGTGACTTTGTGCACAACTCGTTCTGTTGGAGTACAACTACTATTCAGCGCATGAACAGTAGAATCTGTTGCCAAGAGTATATCAGTATCAGCATCAGCATGAATGATGATGATGATGATGATGAAATGGAGTGGCCGGCAGTATCGTTATCGTGCCAGCAGTATTTATTTAAGAATGACGTCATGAACTCACAAACTCAGAGACAGCAAACAGCTTCTAGAAAGTCAAAAAAAAAAAGAAAAAAGAAAAAGAAACAGACACACAGAGAAAGTAATAGAATCTTTTATTTATCTCCTTCCATTCTGGTTATTGTCTCGTGCGCAAACATCGCTGAGACTAGATTCCTGAGAAATGTATGTACGTAACAGACACGATGCTATCAGCAATCCCCTCCGTTTTTTAGAAAATAAATATATGGCATTGAACACCATACAGCAGAAACATTAATCGACAAAACCTAGCAGACAGGACGCTTCGAAGACTCAGGCGACCTGGAGTAAATCCTGAAATAATTACCTCCGCGGAGATCTGACGTGCAGAGAGCAAGCAAGATCGACAAGCCTGCAGGATGAAGGGGAGCAGGGGTCGGGGGTTCTGCTATCGACTCAGTCTACCTAGCAGACAGCCTTGCATTCCAGAACGGCTTCTACTATTGGCGGAGATGCGCCTGCTTCACTGATTGACAAGTCAGAAGTACAGAGTAGCTTTTGCCTGCGATAAGCATGGAAGGTGTAGACGGCCTTTCTTTCTTTCTTTTTTTTTCTTTTCTTTTCTTTTTTTTGTATTTATCTTTCTCACTACTCTGTATCTTCTTATCAGTGTTTGGTGATGCCCGCGGAGTTTGTCAGTTGCAACTTGCATGCTTGTACTGCTGGTGCAGACCATTTTCTCTTTTCTATGCAACTACATAATCCATTGTCGCAAGCATATAGATGGCAAGAATTAATGCCAAGTCACGAGCTGCGTCTGGCACATACAATGATTAATTATTAATTATCCTATGCCAACTGACATGACACCATTTATTTAATGTCGAATTCAAGAACCATTCAGATCGTTTGTATTATTATTGCCACTGATAAGGGTATCTATCTATCTGATGACCTCACCTCGCCTCCGCCACCCTCCTCCAGTCTTGGTAGATCCCTGCATCTAGGTACCTAACCTACCTAAGACACAAGATATCAGGGAGCTTGAGGTTTGTAGGCGGAAAGCCTTCAGGTCTAGCTGTTGCCAACTAATCTCTATGGAATGTGATGACCTCTCGATGAGCGCACATACAACCAGGCTTCACCATTTGCTCACTCTCTTTAGAACTGTGATATGAGTGTAGAGATTGTGATAACAGTGGACTTGTTCACACCGGGTCAGTATGGTTTCAACTACTCGAGCTGCGTGCATCTTTCCAAGTCAGGAAATTCGGAAGCTAAAGAAAAAAAAGTGCAGAAGACACAACACCGGAAAGAATATTGTTGATCGATCAGTCGATAAATCAAGTAAGACTATTGTGTATAATTGTGTCTGTAGATTGAAAATGTTTATTTATTTTGTTCTGTGTGGGTTCTTCTGTTGAAATATATTTATATATTTAAAAACAGCATTAATTATATATAATCGGACAGCAGGCAGAGTTAAATCTGAATGAAAGTGTCTATTTATAGGTTATTATATAATACCAAGATCTTACAATTGCAATATTATAGTCAATATAGATGAGCTATTCTTTGGTCTACTTGAAATTGTTGTTTATGTGCATTATTATTGTACTGGACTCCTGTCAACTAACACGTCCATTTGATGTCCCCAGCCTAGAACAAGTTCAAATTCCATATCCTTCTAGAAGGAAGAAAATATACCGGAGACATGACCACGCAGAACAAAATTTTGGTGACTAACGTGCTGTTCCGTGTTGCGTGGTGTGATTTGTGGAGATAAGCGGAGCCTGGAATCAAGGGTTCCAGTGGAGCCCGTCAGGTGTCTCGCTCCAAAACGTCCACAAAACGTCCATGCTCATGTCGGCCTTTCTTTCTCACACATCTCCGCGGAGATATACAAACTGCCAAGGTGTTTTCTCTCGCTGAATAGGCTATCAAGTCGGCAGAAATCGGGGATGGCTCAGGAGAGTCGCCGATACATGGATGGATGGCAGGAGGCAAGTGTATGATGGCAAAAACGCACCCCGGCCAGAGGGTTTGATTGGCAATGTGGACGCTGCCATTGGTTCGTTCTGAGGGATATTGTTTGCCTCGTCCTCAGAGAACAAGATGTCTTTAAAAACCGTGTGATATCCCTCGTCTAGACGTTGATACCTAGGTTGCTGCTCCGCTTAACTATCTACCTTTCATCATTGCTACTACTTCCAAAGTTTGGTGGACAAACAGTACCGTTACGAGCAGCAGCATGGGTTTAACGCCGGATCAAGTCAAGATCATCAAGGCCACCGTGCCGGTCTTGAAGGACCATGGCAATGCCATCACCACGGTGTTCTACCAGAATATGCTGGCCGAAAATCCAGAGCTCAACAGCATCTTCAACACTTCCAACCAGGTGACCGGCCACCAGCAACGTGCCCTGGCCAATGCTTTGTACGCATATGCCACGCATATTGACGACCTGGGAGCGTTGGCGCCCGCCGTCGAGCTCATCTGCCACAAGCATGCGTCCCTGTACATCCAACCGGAGCACTACAAAATTGTCGGGACTTATCTGCTTGCCGCGATGAAGCAGGTCCTCGGGGATGCCCTCACCCCGGAGATCCACGACGCCTGGGCTGCGGCGTACTGGCAGCTGGCCGACATCCTGATCGGGAAAGAGAAATCCCTGTACGAGGAAAGTGACGGCTGGACCGATTGGCGCGAGTTCAAGATCGCAAAGAAGGTCCCCGAATCGGACGAAATCACCTCCTTCTATCTCAAACCAGTGGACGGCAAACCCTTGCCCTCGTTCCGGCCGGGGCAGTACGTCTCAGTGCTGGTCGATGTGCCGGCCCTTGGATATCCGCAGCCGAGACAGTACTCGCTGAGCGACAAGCCCAACCCAGACTACTTCCGAATCAGCGTGAAAAAGGAGCCGGGGGCAGTCAACGGCGTCAAATCTCCCCCGGGCTACGTGTCGAACGTTCTCCACGACCTCAAACAGGAGGGAGATATCGTCAAGGTCTCCCATCCGTTCGGCGACTTTTTCCTTACGGACGCAAAGAACGGCGAGATCGTCGACTCGACCCGTCCTATCGTGCTCATCTCCGCCGGGGTCGGCCTCACTCCCTTGACATCGATCCTCAACACAGTGACGTCCAGGTCCTCCGCGTCGAAGCGGAAGATCCACTTCATCCACGGTGTCCGACGGGCGAGGGTTCGCGCGTTCAAGGACCATGTGCTGTCTCTCGCCAAGCAATACCCGAATCTGCAAGTGACCTTCTTCAACAGCTCCCCATCAGACGACGAGAAGCAGGGAGAAGACTTCCACCACGCGGGGCGGATCGATCTGCAGAAACTCGACAGGGACGAGCATCTCTTCCTCGACGACCCCACGACAGAATACTACATTTGTGGGCCGGAAGGTTTCATGCAAGACATGGCGCGTTCACTGAAGGAGTTGAATGTGGATTCTGCTCGGATCCATATGGAACTTTTTGGCACGGGCGGTGTTTCCACTGCGTGAACTTCGATACATATGTACAGAAATACATACCTACTGGACTAGCGCTTTGGCGCTATATCTGTAGCTCTCTTACTCCCGCAGATCAGACATACTCCCCTCATGATTTATGAATTATGATGTATATAATTCCACTCCAGTACTAGCAGTAATGATATAATATCAATTGATGCCTTCTTTGACTGGATTGTTGATATATATAAATCCTAAAAATCACCAAATAGACCATTTGCATCAGTTTTATCCAATGCCTACAGTAATCGTCAGAGTATCTGATTCATTTGCAATATCTTCTCAATCCCCCTCAATTTTACAATCGATAACTTTTCCTCCGCCTTTTCTTCATCATATCTTATTTCCTTCCGGTTAGAGGGAGGTCAATCTCCCCCGCCGGACGCGCCACAGTCGCCCGTCAATGATGCCTGTTGACAGGATCTTTCTGATAGAGATTGACCTCGAAGAATTTGTTATGGGCGACGCACTTGAAGTTTTTGTATCTGAAGAAAATTCCAATTCCAATTCCTCTCCTGCAGACTCTCTCTGGCCTGGGATGAAGTATCTTTTCGCCTCCAATGGGCCGTAATTGACCTGTTGCACGAATTGGACGGCGTAGGGTGGTGGTGGATTAATTTCCGACATGCTGCTGCTGTTGCTGCTAATGCTGCTTTCCCTTGGAGACCGGGCCCAGGCCATAAATAAAGTCTTGGAATTTGCGCTCGTGATCTAAGATTCGTGGCCGGTATGGTTCGATGAGTGGGCAGCAGAGGATGGGTGTTGATGACATTTTCTACTTTGTCCGGTCTTGTAAATGTATTGTTTCTCTGGGACTCGAGTATGTAGAGAAAAAAAAACGCAGAATCAAAACGATACTGATATGTCCTTCCGATGGGCAGGCATTGATGGGATTTAAATAAATCATTTTTTTTTGCTCTCCATCTTTGAGAGTCATTGCCTACATCGATCGATAGATAGATAGATGGTCAACATGAATGGCCATATCTCCCAATAGCAGTGTCCTATTTTGAGGCCTACCATTCATGCCATACAATATCCTCTTCTAGAAATTTATGTACCTACCTAGGTAGCTAGACAATACCTGCAGTTCACGGACCAATCCTAGAACAAGGTTTTGAGGCCTACCATGCAAGGATACCGGATGGTCTGAGAGTTAGTTGCATAGATAGCAGTACATAGCGCATGACGTGACGGGCAACAGGTTAGCAAGACTTTAAAAGCTCTACAATCCAGGCAGTTTAAGACATGCTGTCGGGATGGAAACTTGCGTCAAGTGCCTTTATTTGTTGGCAGAGAGTATGAGGCCTGATGGTATCTATCTTGATGAAACTAGCCAGGCTGCCAGAATTTCTACGTATCGTCGGAGTGGCCGAATGCTGACCCTGGGCCAGTACATGCTAAATCTTGGGTTGACGGTGCTGATTATGTATCCTGTCCAACCACGTCACTGCATTTCGAGGCCTACCACGACATGCATTGCCAAGATCTGCGACAATCTGTCAGACCAGATATTACCTGCCATACTCCGGAGTAAGGATTCAGTTCAGTTGGCATGGATCGAATATAAGAAGCTTGCTTTTTTCCTTAGTCCTTTGTTTTTGTTCTCTTCTTTCTACTGCAGGGCAGTGAGCCTGCCACTCAGTCCACTCATTATTCTTGTTATTGTTCCTATCACTGTTGTCTTTTCTCTTGCTTTTTGTTTTCTTGCTGTCTTTTGATCTCTACACTCTCTTACGCTGCCCAACCTGAAGTGAACTCTTTCCCTGTGCTTCTGTGTAACTGTAGTCCTGGCTTGACTCCTCTTGTGTGGAGTGTTTCCAAGAGATTAATTCTCCTTCCCCCCTGTCCATTCTCGACACAGTCCGATTTCTAGTCCGTCGAATCAGGTAACAGTCGATCGACAGCATCTACAACACCAACACCAACTTCATTTCCAGTTTGTCGATCCGTCCTGCTTGCATGTCAGAGATCGGAATGGCCCGTTAGCCTCGTCTTCTGATCAACTTGATCAGCTCGATCAGCGGTTGGAAGAACGAGGACAGACTCATACTCTGCATAATTGCAGTCATCAGGATTACAGCCTCGATTTACAGCAGCAGTAAACAGAAGAAGACGAAGAACCGCAGGACGAGGATCAAAGATCCAGTTCGATCGTTTTACAATCAGGTCACCATCAGCAGCAGCCGCCAAGCCATGACGATGGTCCATTGTTGAGAGATGATTTTTTCTGAAAATCCAGACCACACCACTTATCATCAAGTGACAGCATTCTTCCCTCCTATAATGCGCCCAATGATACAGGACCGAATGAGGGTACCAATCCTCCCTACCAGTGTGATTCATGTCCCCGCGCCTTCTCCAAGAGGCATCAATTGAAGTATGCCGTCTTCCCCTTCTTCTTTCATGCAGCTGGTCTGAGCTGAGCTGAGCTGAACTGACTTACACGGCTAGCAAACACATGAAATCGCACCGCCGGCCATTCCAATGCCTAGTCTGCCTGCAACGCTTCCAATACAAGAAAGACCTCAACCGTCACCATACAGCACGCCATAGTAACAGAACCGATGATTCCACGTGCCACTATTATTACTGCCCTCTCCAGTGGCGCAAGTTCTCTCAAAGTAGTAAAGGGAAGATGAGTTTTTTCCCGCAAGGATCATCTGCAGCGACATATAAAGAACAAGCATCAATTGGAATTGGCTCAGCAGGAAGGTTGGGAATTGTTACGCTAGTAGTGTTGTACTGTACTGCACCTTTTGTTGAGCCTTTGACAGGGCGACAAGGAGGATGAGAATTTAGCTAGCTAACTATTGTCAAGACAAGATGATGATAATTGATGGTAGAGAAAGCCAATTAAAAACGTTCAATCCTTACGTTTGTTTTTTTTCCCTCTTTAGTGGCTTTTCATAAGAAAATGTCGTTCAACAAGAGATGTCAGCTATCTGTAGTTAGTATACAGGCTCACCTGACGCTGCAACCAACCACTTCTTCAGAAACGGCTGTCAGTTTCGACACCCCTATCCTCTTGGTAAGCTTCTTACGCTAATGCCCTGGTTCATAGAAGTTTAGTTTATCCATGCTATCTATGTATGATGAATGAAGGTCAAGGGAGTCTTTACCTAAATAAAGTCACGTTTTTATCTGCGGCTCCGACTTCTATGGAGGCAACCAGCAATGTATCTATTTAGTATCCTAGGTTTTGCCTTCATTCGTTTTGGGAATTTCTACTTGAACGAAGCTAGTTACGGAGAGAAGGGTCGAAAGAACCTTCCACTTTGTTGTTTCTGTATGTATGGACTGAACGCTATTTTCACCTTTACAATTTGTATTGGCCGTTGTTACACCGAATTATCCAAAGCTCAAATCACCAGAGACTCTCAAGTCTTGATAAGATGATTTGATGGCCCGGGAATATGTCTTCAATTGTTGTCCTGTATATATTTTGGTCAGATAAATCACGAAAATCATCCAATAGACCATTTTCATCAGTTTTATTCAATTCCCCGCGATAACCGCCAGAGTATAAAATATCATATGCATATAATATATATGTATGGAAAAGAAAGAAACATTATCATCTATCACATCCAGGGAATCTCCACATCCAAACTAGAAGCAACCCTCATGGCGGACACAACGCATCCTTCCAACAGCACCATTCCATCCCAGCACCATCCCCCAGCGAGATACACCCCGCCGTCCCCATTGCGCCAGCGCGGGGCGGTGGAATCGAAAGAAGCAGTGTCTTTAGCCTTGTCATCACGGAAAATGTCATTGATGATTCGACGGCTTTCAGGACTGCGGAGGACCCGTGTGAACCGCGCCGACCGGAGGATGTGAGACGGCTTGATCGGCGTGATCGGGTTGGTCGTGACGATGACGGACGAATGAGGCTGTTCATGGATCGCCTCTGTGCTTTCCTTGTCGAAACGGAAGTGGATCTTTTGTCCTGACTGATTAGTAGACAATGGAGGCACGCTCGACGAATCGGTGTGCGCGACGGTTTCGACTGTTGTTGTTGGGATCCTGGAAAGGCTGTCCTTCAAGGGTTCGAATACTGCGGCAACGATATCTGGTGATATTGCAAGGACGACCAAATCAAAATTCTCTGACTTCTCATTGCCATCCGCGTCAGTGTACTCGAGTCGTACGCCGTCAGATCCTGGTACCACCCGCGTCAGGCAGACCCCAAAGTTGACATCTATGCCTTTGGCTAGCTTCTCCTGGACGGATTGGACCCCAGTGTCCACCGCATAATGGGGTTGCAGGTGGGTTCGCCTCTTGTATTCCAACACATCGGAGGCGGGAAAATTCAACAGCTCTTGGTGGGAGCAGGTGCAGACACTCGACATCAACGGCAGAAGATAATTCGTAATATAGTACTGTGGCAGACATATTCTCTGCAAATAGTGACCAAAAGTTTCACAGGAAGAAAACGACGAAGCTTCGTAAGGGGCGACATAGGAAGCGCAGATGATGAACCAGACATAGAAGAACAATGCGTAGGCAGCCTCGAGCAGCCAAAAGAACAAGTCGATCTTCCCCGGTACGGGAGGCAGCCTATGGAAGTTTGATGCGTGCACCATGTGCGGTTGAAGTGGAGATGACATCTTGTCTGATGACGGAGATCCTCTTGAAGACAGCCGTGTGAAGCTGAAAAGAAACTGCTGGCTGTGATATCGGACTCCCAGATAGTCATACATTCGAATCAGATGGCGATAGAATCCACCAGCAAACGCGCGCATGGGGACATCGGCCACCGTAAATTTCCCCGGCTCTGATGTCGGAATTGTCACCGACTCGGAGCTCAAGGAGAACTCATTCCGCTGTTTGAAGATCGGTCAGTCGTTGATACCATTTGCCATGTATGATGATGACACAGCATACCTTCTCCAGAAGTTTCACCTGATATCGCTGTCGAGGGTCATGGTGCAAAAGATAGGCCGTCACCAAGCCGGCCAGGCCTGTGCCCACAACAGCGACAGTCCTCCTCTTCTCAGCCTGTTGGCTCATGGGATGTCTCGCCCTGCAAGGTGTATATTATATAATATACAGTGGGGTGGATGATATACGGCAATTACTAGCCTGGCTGATAGAAAGACCAGCCTGGTGGATTGACCGACCATTTTAAGGAGTATTAGATGCTATGGCCTGCACCTGCCAAGACTTTAGCCATGTGCTGTGACGCTCCGTGTCGAGCGCTGTGTGGCATTGGATTCCTGCAACACACAAAAGTATGTGATCTGACTTTGCAAAGCCACACTGATATGGCGTTGGGGAAGCCGGCACTAGAATATTTTACAGGATTCATTTTCCTATTTTGCGCTCGATGTTCCTGTTTTGGGAATGACGTGTAGTACGGGGGAAGGATTGCAGGCGTATGTAAGCAGCTGGCTCGTCCTGATTGGGCGCTTCCTTGAGCCGCCAAGATCCACGATGTCAGGCCACCGACTCAACAATATCCATGGATTGTTACGGACGTAAAGTTGCACGCGGACAATCCCATTGTCGCTCCTGTGTACATAATAGCTTCGTTGGGACGGTGCGTCATAGTCTGGGGAGCTGGGACAATCAACTCAGGCAGATGCATCTGTATGTGGATGGGCCGCCTGACTGACTACGTAGTAACCTGCTGAGATGGTGACTGTAAGCGCTTCTGCTTGTCATTCCACTTGGTTGGCCTTATATCAGAGAGTGTGAATTGCTGTAAGAGTTCTAACAGTCTAACTGCATTACTGTGGCGATGGTGATTGTTATTTGATGCTCCTGATCTGATACCAAAGACTGGCTCAGCCCCGCCTTTGCGGGTGGCGGCCGTTTTCGGGAAGGCACCGCCCGGTCACTGGACTCCCTGCCTGCGGGCAATAATGGCTGATGCCCAAGCTGCGTCCTCCATCCTCAGGAACCATCTCTCTCTGGTCGAGTGCAGGCACTCACCCTGTTATCTCTCCTCCTTCGCACGTCAGCTGACTCTAAATGGGCGAATTCCCTTAGCCGATGCTTGGACTCGTTCTAGATCAACGTCTGGTCTCTGATATGCGCGCCTGAACTATGGCTGGAGCCTGTCGATTCTGATAATCGCTTCCTAATCTCTATGAGCATTGACGCGCTGAACACGCCACAGTACGCGACCATCTCGAACAGTATCATTGCCTTGTTCTACTAGATTATCTCTGCGCCCTCGCTCAATCCTGGCACGATTACTCCCCTGCCGACCACCGAGGGATAAGAACGGAGCTCGCATAAGTGAATGCAGTCGCTCCACCGACAGCTGTCACATGCATATTCTGCAGCCATAGACTCGATTGGGAGCTCGTCGACCTACCGCCTTCTGCAACTAGACCGGTCTTTTCCTGCCATCTTCAGTCAGAGATCCTTCTGAGCTTACTCTCTCGTGATTCCACCACCAATGAGTGTTCCAACCTTGCGCATCTGCTGAAATGAGTTCGCCGCAACCTACAGAGCCTTCCTCCGATCCCAACGCGTCCAACCAGAGTCTCGGTGAGACCGCGTCTTCACAATCCAATGAAAGCACCCCGAGCTCGCGGTCAGATGGCCGGCGGATCTCGTTCATGGGGGATGACTTTTGGAGGAAGTTGAGCGGAGGGGAGTCGGAAACCCCTGTTGCGCCCCAGCCGGGGAGTCAGATAGGCCAAGGCGGTACTCAGACACAGGCCAAGCAGTCGAAAAGACTATCTTCCCCACCACCTCCCAGGTGAGATTCCTTGTCTTCAGGTCTGTCTTCTAGAGAAGAACATGCTGACTGGGGTCTACTAGTAAATATCAACGTGGAGTCTCCTTCGACACCTTTGACAATCGGGACGCGACCGATTTCTCTTTCACCTTGAACTACAAGCACAAGAACTACCAGGCCTCGCGGCGCAGTCGCACCTTCCTGTGTGGCACGGATCAAAATGACTATTCGGACTTTGCTCTCGAGTGGTTGCTCGATGAGCTCGTCGACGACGGGGATGAAGTGGTCTGCCTGCGGGTGGTCGAGAAGGACTCGAAGATCGCGAGCGACGCGAGCGTTGAGGAGGGGAGATACCGGAAAGAAGCGGAGAAACTGCTACAGCAAGTGATCCGCAAGAACCGCAATGATGAGAAGGCCATCAGCCTTGTTCTGGAGCTGGCGGTCGGCAAAGTGCAGGAAACCATTCAACGCATGGTAAGAACTATCAGTCATGTTGTGGTCAACGCATTTGCTGACTGTTGAAGATACAAATCTACGAGCCTGCCGTTCTCATAGTCGGTACGCGGGGCCGCAGTCTCAGTGGGATGCAAGGCCTCCTTCCGGGCTCAGTTTCGAAATACTGTTTGCAACATTCTCCTATTCCCGTCATCGTCGTACGGCCGACGCAAAAGCGCGAGAAGAAGAAAAAGAAACGGCTTGCCGATCCGACCAGGCGAAGCTACAACAACATCCTGCAACTGAGTGAGAAGCGGGGAAGCGGTTTGTTTGATACCAACATTAACACCGACAGCAACATCGACAAGCAACCAGAGGAAGAAGCAGCCGCCGTGGCTGAAGCCGTCGGGCTTCCGCGAAGTTTCCGACACAGCAACAGCGATACGAAGCTGTATGCACTTGCGAAAGAAGCAAAACAGCAGTCCAAAGGCGAGCATGAGCATAAGAATGAGAGTGACGTACCTAGCACAGAACCAATTAAATCGCCAGCGTCGACTGTCGATGATGAGAACGCCGTTGTACTGAAAAGCCCCACGCTTGGAGGCCTGGACAGCGCGCCTGTGAGTGAAAGCGAGGATGATGCAGCCACTACGGTGCAGGACACGTCTTCGACTACGGCTGCAGCTGCTCCAGAGAGTGCAGCGCCAGAAGAAGCAGAGTCATCGGCTCAAGAGCATTCAACATCCGTCGCAAGTCCAGAGGTCGCTACACCTGTTGATGCCTCTGTCGAAACGGAGGATGCTGCTAAATCCGGTCCTGAGGAAAAGGGGATAACGCTGAGCTTGAGGAATGACGGATAAAGCAAACACGTAAAACACAAAGTACATAATACATACCTACGACGTATACATAGTACTATCGTCCAGGTTTAGAGAAATTCCTTGTATTTCCTTAGGGAGCAGGGCTCAAGAACATGTCTAATCAGCAATCAAGACAACAATCAAGACAGCAATCAAGACATTTCTATTCACTTTCTATTCATCATTGTCAGCGTACGAAGATAGATACATAGTTGCCATTTTGAAGGAAGCGTTAAGAAAACCAAAAAAAAAACAAAACCAAGGCAGGAAGAAAGGAGAGGGTGAAGATAACTTCAACCCTATCCTGGACTATACAAGTAATACAATAAGTACTATATATAATACCGATAATAAGAATAAAAAGAGGGAGAGAGGGAGAGAAACATCTGAGTCCTGACTGATAATTTGATAAATCAAATCAAATCAAATCAAATCAAGATAACTGACTTTCTTTGTTTCTTTCTTTCTTTGTTAAGCGACGCGACATGGCATGATGTAACGTTATATTATTCCTTGATTGATCAACTGCTAAGTCTCTATAGACACAGGCACAGCAAGCAGTCCGTCGTACGAAAAAGAAAAAAGAAAGAAGCGAAAACAAAAGGCAAGACTTTTTTAAAAAAAAATAAAAAAAATAAGAATTGGCATAGCATTATTTTATTTGAAATTTCAAATAATCACGTTAATCACGTTACGTACTGTACGTACGTACGGTCGTACGGAGTAATAGTAGGTAGTAGTACCCTGCAGATAGGACGAGACCAAAAAAAAAGACAACAGACAAACCCAGTGCAAATAATGCAAGATGCTAGCAAAAAAAAGCAAAGAAAAATAAATCAGTGGCTAGCCTTTGCTTAGGAGTTCGTCCCTTTCTTCTCCTTTTATTTTCCTTTCCTTTCCTTTTTTTCCGTTTCCCTTTGATATCTTTCTTATCATCTTGTCATCTTATCGACTTAGAATGAATGAGAGATGGATGGACGGATAAGTTCGAAAAAATGGAAATGGAAAATGGAAAATGGAATGAGTTGATGAAACTGAACTGAATGAACCCCCTACATACAGGCTCTCGGGTATTGGCAAAACGAGACAAAACATAGCAAACAGAATCGGAAAAAACAAAACATGACAAAAAACATGACAAACGTGAAAACCATGAAAAAGCCATAGGAGCAACGCTCTTCAGCTTTCAGCTTTTTTAGCTTTCAGCTTCAGCTTCAGCTTCGAGCCTCTCCTCCTCATTCATCATCAGGAAAAAAAAGTGAGAAAAAACATGGTAGTATTCTACACAATGCATTCGTTACCTGTGTCTCTCTTCAAAGCCCTCTTTCTCCCTCAAGACAAAAAGAAATTTTAAGAAACAAGGAGGAAGAAGGCCAATTAACGTCGTGAGTGAGAGTAGTCGAGACTGACTTGTTTGGACCCCGCCGGTGATGAAGGATGATGATGAACATGATGAATGCCAGAACTCATTGAAAACGAAAGCAAACAAAACCCAAACTTTTGTCTTTCCGAAAAACGAGATGGATGCATGGCTGTAATGCGAGAAAGAGAAGAAGTTGATGGGTTATCATTTCTGCTTATCTACTTATGCGGCTCCTTCATCGTCTTTGGACGAAGTTTTGGATTGCCGGCGTTCAATCGCAGGTCGGGACTTCGTCATGGTCGGAGAGGAGGCGTTGGACGGTGGGGATGTAGCCATGTTATCTCGGTCTTCCAAACTAGCCAAGGCACTGAACAGAGTTAGCTGACACAGTAAAAAAAA